GCTTGCCGTCTGATCTGGTAGCAGTGAAGTTTTAATATCTTCCATTTCTGTATTCTTTCTTCTTCTAGACTCCAAGCAGCTCTATATCTTTATTTTATCTATGTTGTTTGTTTGTGTGAAGGTATTGGTCAGTTGGGAAACTGTATATCATCAAACTGTTGGCAGAGAAGTCAGACTTTTTGAAAGTCAACAAAGAGTTGACGTACATCAGAAAATGAAGAAGAATGATCTGCTTTGGGGAGGGATGTTTTTATTCAAAATAAACCTTGACAATGGATGTATGTGAGTTCATAGTGTATTTCAAATATTCTTAGACTTTAAATATTTTCAGAGCAGTCAGCTTGAAGTGGCAGAGAACAATAGTAGTACATGCTTGCATATGTTTGACTTTCTTCTGTGTTTGTCATAATAGAAAATAGCAAATACAATATTCATGTAGCATCCATAATTCAACCATGTTCTTTATTTGCTTTGGATTTTGGTAAATAAGATGTCAGACAACTTTCAGGCCCTGGAGAAAAATCTGTGTTACAGAGAAGGCTAACTCTGCCCCCAAAAACCTCTGGAGTGTGACCTTGCCAAACAGAGGTGGAGGTCCCTGATTGGATGTAATTCTTCTGCCTTTTTTTTTTTACTTTTCACAAATGAAAATTTCCAAGTTAGAAGGTTGCTGTCTTAAGAATTCATATTTATTTTTTCTTATTTCATCATGTCCCACTCTAGTGGCATTTTCCCTAGATATATAGACCACCCAGTTGTTTTAAGCCAGCTGTCAAAATAACATTCAGTGAGAGGATTGTGCTCAGTTTTGCAGGATGTAGCTATGCAAATGGTGGAAAAGGTCCTTTGCCCTGAATAAGGGATGGGCTTGTTTAGGACAGTTGTAAGTGCTTCACCAGTTGACATCTGTCTGTAAGAACTCTGCTGTTTGACATCCCTGAATTGTAAAAAGCATCTCTCTTTCAGGGCATTTGAAAATGTTATTTGGGTCACATTTCTGGTCAGGAAATTTGAGGTCCTTACAGAACTTTGAGGAGATAGTCTTGTACCTATTCTCCAGCTGACCCTGGATCTGATGAAATTTTGCTCTGTGTTTGCTCTTAACGCTGTTTACTCTTACTACTGTAAAAGCCTGTTTACTACAACTAGGCTTTGTGTGCCTCCCAAAGAAGATAATGTTTTACTTTATTGTGTTAAGAACTGAGTAATTCTGAGACCTGTACATTCCCAGTAGGAAAAAACTGTGTCAACCAACTGATCTCTATGAGCTGCTGCAGATGTGGGTCTTGATGCTGACTTGCTTCTTTTCTGGATCTAATGAGAAAACCACTGAGATTTGTAGCTGCTCCTCCACTGCACTGAAAGGTCTGGAGACAGTAATAAAAGACCATCCCACCCCTCAGGAAGAATAGAAATGTTTTACAGTAATAAAATAAATTTATGCCAAATCAGTACAGGCTGGGGTATCAAGATGTGGCTCTAAGTGGTAGTAACAGGCTTCTCTATTGTGAAGGAAAAATGGACTGTGTTGTAATGAGATTTTAGGCTCAATGAGAATCTAACCCTCAGTGTGGCCCTTGCTCCAAATCAAGCTGTAGATACTTGTTTTTGTTTGTCTAAGTCATTGCACAGCCAGGAAGTGGGAGGAAAAGTTGTTTGCTTTCATATCAAGGGAAGTTTATTCATGAAAGATGCAAGTAAAATGCACCACTGATTAAGGTTTCCAAATTATGAGAAGTCCAGTGTTTGGAAACCTGCAGCTTTTACCTCAAATATTTTAGGAAAGTTTATGTAACTTGTAAAGAATTATTCTGTACTGAAATAAATGTCTACAGGCTGATTTGTTTCAAGAGTCTCCCTTGCTGTTACACAGGAGCTCTCAGTATCTACTGCTAAAGCGTTTGGGGTTTTTTTTCTAAAGAAAAAGTATTACCAAAAAAAGCGGGAATATTAACTTTAAAATCAGTTAGAATTACTCATCAAGGAGAAGGTTTTGCCCAATACTCTGACTTAAATATGACTGTAATAGGTTCATCCCAGTCTAGAGTCATTCTCCTCTCTCTCTTGTGCAGGGCTGATTCCTGGTAAGCCACTTCAGTTTACTAAACCATCAGCTAACTAACCATGCCCCCATTCCCCTTCCTGTTGCTTTAGATTATTAAGAAAAACCATCTCACTACAGGGTTATCTGAGAGATGGTAGCAGTACAAGGACGTAGGGAGGGGACACACAGCAAGCAATTGGGAGGGAGCTGTATCATCCCAATGCTATTCGGCTTAGGTCACTGTATAAATGAGCGGGAGTTACACCTTATCATCCTGTCTTTTCATGGTTCTCTCCACATAGCTTCTACATTTTTGCTCTCATTAGATCTTTACATTCTTCATGCATGTTCTCTCATCTTTCACATCATCTGAACTGCTTACAGATGATGTTTCTTTCATCCCATCAATTTGGGAGAATATTTTTAATCAGGCCTTTTTTACTTGAAAATATTTTTGTCCACATGAAACAAAGCATCTGCGTGTGTGATGACTCGTTGAGAACTGCCATGGGAATTGTTTGTGTTGGTGGGACTGATGTGCTTGTAAGTGCATAGACTGAAAGGGGTTAAGTTTTTCTTCTCTCTATGATACTTTCTTTGCAGTCTGATTTTACTTAAATGAAACTTCTTTTGCACTTGCGTAGTCATGTTGCATTTGGCACCATCTTACACAGTCCATCCATAAAACTTCAGTGTCCCAGATTTAGCCAAGTTATTATTATTCAGGTATTTATTATTCTTACGAATATTGTCAAATGTAAGTGAGCCAAGTGCGTGCTTCACAGCCTTCCTAATATTAAAGGAACTTCAGTTGTATTGTGTGTGTACATAATGTATCTGAATGTTTCAGTATTTGTTGGTATGTTGTGCTGGCTAAATTAGAGGTGTTGGAATTTGTCAGACTCCTTTTCTGTCCCTCCCCCAGCCATTTTCCCAGAGCCTGAGAAACCTCTTCTTCTAAAGAAGAATGTTTACACAACCTTGCATTGGTCACCAAGTACATGAAGTTTTGATTTTGAATGACTAGAGAACAGCCAGCAGTAGTGCTTTTTATGCTCTTGGAAGTGTTAATTCCTCAGTTTGTTTATGGCAGTAGTAAGCATGAGGATGAGTACACAAGATATTTTTATATTTGCAGAGAACAGTTCAAAGCCTAAGCACTGCCTGTCTGCCATTTGCAATCAGCAGCAGCCAGTGTGGAAGGACTCCTTGTAGGAAATGAGGTAGTTGCTGTGCTTGAGAGAGGACTCTGCTCCAGGAGCTCTCCTGTTTTGATTAATTCTCTGCCCTTTGCCAGATCTTTTCTGTAGGTCATCTTCTCTGCTGAGTTCTCGAGAAGGCTGCAAAGAAGTCTATGGCTTAGAGAAAGCATTGCAGTCCACATACTGTGTGCCAGAAATATCTGTTTCATTCCTGCCTGTTATTCCCCGTTTCCCTGGTTAGCAGGCTGAACTTTCAGTGTTAGTTTGAACATTTAAAGGAAGCAGTTTTTCAAAATGTAAACTCTTAAATACAGTAGCTGGTGTGGCTACATGATTTGTGACATTCCCTTTAGATTCCAGGGGAAAATCCCCTTAACACAGGGATGCATGATGTTAAAAATTAATGTCTCCCTTAAAAAAATTTTAGAAAACATCCTGGGAATACTGGCTTTTTCAGTTTGGGGCATGTTGATGAAGGTCCAAACTTTTCACATGCAACTTAATAGTAATTGGAAGTGTTTTGTCTTGAATTTGTTTTTTGCATTATTCCCAGTGGAAAACAGCTCTATGTCAAACTGATATTAGCAGGGACACAGGGAAGCAGTATGTCTGCTCCTATTTTGAGACTTGACGATGTTGGCACAATATAGAATCACAGAATCTATAGAGTAGTTTGGGTAAGAAGGGACCCTTAAAGGCCATCTAGTCCAACCCCCCTGCAATGAGCAGGGACAGCTTCGACTAGATCAGGTTGCTCAGAGCCCCGTCCAACCTGACCTGGAATGTTTCCAAGGACGGGGCATCTACCACCTCTCTGGGCAACCCGTTCCAGTGTGAAAAATTTCTTCCTTGTATCTAGTCTATGCATCAGAAAGATATAAACCTCTGTTTTCAGAAGCTTTTCCTTCTTTTTTGCTTCCCAGCAAAATTAAGTCAGCAGCATGTGTATTGGACTGCTTCTATCAATCTTGAGGTGCCAAGGATGTCAAACATGAACCTTCAGCTGTAAAAAGGATTGAATTCAGTATAACTTCTTTGATTTGTTCTGCAGTTATATCTTTGGTAATTGATGTGTTGTGTGTCCTGCCATGGTGTGGTTGGTAACCTCTGCAATTTCCCTCTACTCAAACAAGCAGGTGCTCGAGGTGAAAAGCAAAACCAGAAGTTGAAAAAATACATCTATAGCATAGTCTCACAAATATCTACTAGCTTAGATTGCTCCAGGTGATACTCGCAAACACTAAAGGGATTTTTTTCCCCCCTCTCCACAGAAGAAAGATAAACTCTGTACAGGACAGTGCAGAGGCATAGCTTGATGTAGTTTAATTTAGGGGCTGAATCACCTTTTAGATTAACTAAATTTTGTCCACTGAAAGGGGGAAATCAGGATTGACTAGAATGAGTAGAGCAAAGTCAGCCATAGTGAATGTTTCCTTCATTAATTCCCCAAGCCCAGGCATTCTGTGGGGATATATTATGTCACTAGGGAAGTTAGTTTAGAAATTGGGTGGAACTAGGTGCTCATAAGGTATATGGCAAGGGTTAAAGAGGCAGCAGCCTTTGTAAAAGTATGACTACAAAAACATTTTGATGTGCCGTCTCACTTTCAGAGCTATTATCTTCTTGGGAGGCAGTGGAGGGATGCCAAAAGATCTAAGGACAGGGAGAGGAGAACTTGCCAGTAATGGGTTTGTGAATGAAAGAGAAAGGAGATCTTAATAAAAGAAAAGTGACATGAAAATGCTCTCTTCCAGTTTTCACCTGGCAGCCACGAAAGGGCATGCAGAGTGCCTCAGGATCATGGTGACACATGGTGCAGATGTGACAGCCCAAGATGGTGCAGGTATGTCTCTGTGAACCAATGCATGTAGCGTAATACACTCAGTTTGCCTGTACAGTTCTTGATATGAAAAGTGCAACTGCAGATTTGACAACACCGCATTTCCCCACACTCCATGTAGGAAAAGTGGTTGTAATACTTGCAGGTTTAGGCATACTTGCTTTTCTGTCCATAGAATTCTAAAGCCCTTACAAACTTTTGCCATAATGCTCTAAATGTCAGCATTTATAGTGTACTCAAGATGCAAAATAGTTGCTTGATTTTTTTTTTTTCCCAGCTTATTTATTATTAAATAAAAAAAAAAAATATCCCCCTCCTCCAGCTCTTTTTGTTAATTTTATTTTAGGCTTTTTAAAGGTTAAATCAAGATCTTCGGTGTTGCTTTTATGAGTATCCAAGCTATTAACCCCATTAACTGTACAAGAGTTGCAGTAAGACATTTCCTCAGGATTATGACATAGCGAAAAGAGCTGATACAGGCCAAAACAGAGCTAAGAGCTATTAAGTATGTTGTTGCAGCCCTCAGAAGTCCTATGCCTTAATTACTACTCCACTAGGAGAATGATGGGAGCTGAGTTTGAAACTGGCAAACTCTTCTTAATAGATTTCAGTTGGCATATCTGTGGAATCTGTGCCTGGCATTTTCTCTGGCTAGCGGAGTCACCTGAATGAGCTGTCAGCATTCTATCTCTCCGGTAATGATCTGTAAATGGGTTCTGTTTTGGCCACTGATTGCAGCCTGAGGGAATTTCTGTCATACATGGAAATTATTTGCCTGTATAAGGAAGTGTCTGTGATACTGTAAGAACCGTTCAGATTATACATAATGATAAGAGAATATAAGTACCTGATACAGACTATTATTCAGAATTCATACTTCATCATGCCTCAGGATTTATTAGTTGTTTGGATAACAAGAGGTTGCCTGCTCTCACCTGAGAGTGTCGACCCAGCATTCATGAGGGAAAACCTTGTCTGTAACAGTCACATTATTTACAGTGAGGTTCTACTGTCAGAGGTGGCTCCGTATTGAGTACTAAATCTTGTCTCCTTCTTTTCACAGTTACATGGATAATTTATTCTTTTGCTGTCTTGGCCTCTTTAATTTTTCAGATGCTCTGTAAGATGAAACTAGAAGAGAGACTGCAGTCTTTCATCATAAATCCATAGTCAGTAAATCACTGTATTGCATAACTAAATACGAGCTCACAGATGCTAAATAAATTAACAGAAAAGTGAATCTATGGGATGCAAATTGAAGTAGGCCTGTGTTCCAAGTCCTCTTCTGTGTGCAACTCCATGGATGATGCAAATTCGCAGTAATGGTAGCTGGCAAATTTGGCTGACTTTGCTCTTGGTGTTGGGTTCCTTTTTCATTGCCAAATGGAAGAAATCATCAAGGCACTTGACAGACATCTCTCTGCAAGGGAGGCTGAGTAATGTAGGAAAATTGTTTTTTCAGAAACAAAACATAACTGCGCAATCTTAGACTTCTGCCAAGGTATAGTCTGACACGATGTTTGTATCATTCCTTTATATGAAGCAGGACATTAAGATTATTCTGTTACTTGGCTGAACAACAGTCTGTTGTAAATACATTCTGCTTGAAGTAGGTTTTTATTTTATTTTATCTAGCCTTACTTTTCACATATTGTGATAGGAACAGGATGGATAATTCAGAATTTTGCCTTGGTCATGGAAAAATTTATTCCTGTGCTTTGGAATGATTGAATACTTAATTTGCTTTGCTTTTATTCATTTAGGGCACAGCGCTTTACATCTTGCAGCAAAGAACAGTCACCCTGATTGCATTAAGAGGTTACTTCAGGTAAAGTAAAGATTAAATTAATTTTTATTTTTGGAGTTTTCATTTTGTTCCTCTAGATTGGTTCCGCTAGATATTGACACATTCCCTGCTAATGATCTGCATCACACTCTGATACTGTTGTCCTATCTCCTTGCAATCAAGATAGGTGCTTGAATTTAAAGACTGTTTAGGCACTGTGAATGGATGATAGAAAACAGTGTGGTATCTTCCCTGAGTGGTCCACAAATACAGTTTTTCATGTGCAGCTGATCTGACATAGCAGGGCTGGGTTTCCAGCAGGTTGCAGCTCCTCTCTAACTTCCCGTGTTTTGTCTGTGTGGTCGGATGGCTTAGAAGTAGATGGGTTAAGAGGTATAAGGGAAAAGCATTTTTCATTTCTGGGGTATTTTGATATTGTTCCACTGGAATGCTTTTTGTCTGTTGCTGACCATAGAAATGTCTGTCAAGTTTAAAGTCAAAGGGAAAAGAAACCAAAGTGGTTTAGATGCTAAAATATGGAAATATTTGAATCCTCAGTGAAATGAGGTAAAGGGACAGTGAAGGGTCAGAAATGGAGTAGAAAGAATGCAGAAAGAAATAAGAAAACCAAAAGTGAAGGTAAAGAGAAGATTCTTATGGTGTTGAGGATGAAGATGTGTGCTAGTAAGGAACGAGAGGTATTGTCTATCTTGGCTCCATTTTAGAAAGCCAGGTGATTTTTGGTAGAGGTGATCAGAGGAACAGGACAGATTTTTAGGATTTTGGGGTTATCAGTAAGACTGTGGCTCAGACTACAGATGAAATAATAAATAATAAACCCGCTTGAGCACACTGGTACAGAAAGAGAATGCATCCCATATCCCAACCTCTGAATTACTTTTCCCTGGTTACCTCAAGGCTCTCCAGTTGTCCTGTGACTGACTCCTGTCAATGTCTCTGACAATATTGGGTCCAGTTTCACTGATTCCCACCTCCATACTCCTTGCAAGCTGACTCCCCTGTTCCTCCACACCTGGAAAGGGTTATCACTAACCACTGAGGCTCCCCTCTTCGGCATCTCATTGAGAGTATCTGCTATTGCTAATGCAAACTCACTTACAGCATAAACAGTGACATCAAGCTGTCACTGATGGTATTGCATACAACAGCGTGATCAACTCGGCAGCTAGATGTGTGTTTAATACCATATATCTGCTGTCCATTCACTTACCAGCTACAATCACAGAGTGCTTTTGTTTATATTTTGCTAATTTTACTACAATATACAGATTTCTAAATATGTTTGTAAGTGCAAACCCATTGGTAATATTCTCCAATAATTCATGGTCTTTGGATTGCTTTCTTGCTTCTGTGGACCACCTTGGTGACATAAAGTGTACATGTGAGGAATGTGTAATCTTGACATTCAACTCCATGCTGGAGCTGAATTAAAAGAGACTAAATAATTATTTTACACAGGCAGGATCTTGACATTTTTGTTGTTACAGAATGTGGTAATCTATGTGAACCTGTTTTCCTAGAAAATTGAAGAAGTGTTGGAGGCAGTACTACCTTTGAAAGTCAAAAGCTCCAATGTTTGGTTTTTAGAAGCCCATTATTTCAGGGTCATATCTTCTCATGTCTGAAGAACAGTGAAGCTGATGAAGGGTCTAGAGAACAAGTCCTGTGAGGACTGGCTGAGGGAACTCTGGTTGTTTAGCCTGGAGAAAAGGAGGCTGAGGGGAGACCTTATTGCTCTCTAAAACTACCTGAAAAGAGGGTTGTAGTGAGGTGGGTGTTGGTCGTTTGCCCCAAGTAGCAAGTGATCGGCAAGAGGAAATGGCCTCAAGTTGCACCAGGGGAGGTTTAGATAGGATATTAGGAAAAATTTCTTCACCGAAAGGGTTGTCAAGCATGGGCACAGGCTGCCCAGGGAAGTGGTTGAGTCACCATCCCTAGAGGTATTTAGAAGGGGTGTAGATGTGGTGCTTAGGGACATGGTTTAGCGGTGGACTTGACAGTGTTAGGTTTATGGCTGGACTTGATGATCTTAAAGGTCTTTTCCAACCTAAATGATTCTATGATCCTATGGTTCTCTTTCTTTGCTGTAAACTAGAACTAAAAACTTCTGTATCAAAAGAAGACTTGATAAAGATTTGAAATTTGGGGTTTTTTTTAATTTATTACTTTGAAGTCTAAATTGATCAGTAGTAGCTGGTGGCTTATAATACCACAAAATATAACTGAATTGTTGATGCTTTAGTTTTTACAAATGCAAACGAAGCCTTATTGCCTTTGACAGAAATAATGCAAGACTAATTGCCTTAGGTTGTGGTTGCTTTAACTCTTACCATAATGTAAAAAAAAAACTGAAGCTTTTCTCAGGCAAAGGAGAGAGTTTCTTTCCTTTTTTATTTCCTGATTTAAATTGTTCCAAAGCTATAACATTTTTTAGGGATATCTCTCTCACTGTGAGTATTTCCTATGGCTTCAGTATAAGCTGGTACCAAGAAAGGAGAGACCAGATTGGTAGAAAGGAAAGCTGTGCCTTTCTTCAGTATGCTTTTCTGGAATAGCTCATAAAACTTTTCTCAAAGATATTCAGCACTCTGTCCTTCTGTCCTTAGCATCAAACATATGTTTTATTTTCCTGGTGTTTCTCTAATTTTTTTTTTTTTTTCCTTCTCTTTATTAAACTGTGCAGAGTAAATGTCCATCAGACAGCACTGACAATTCTGGGAAAACAGCTTTACATTATGCAGGTAACTTCTCTGTTGAAAGCATGTAATACCTATTTTGCCATGCTTGATATTGCTAGCTCTTCAGTCTGGTGGAGCTTTTTAGGTTCTAATTACATAAATCTAGTGACTCGACCTGATGGCTTACAAATTTCAGGGGTTTTTTTTAGATAAATACTGTGAATACTGAATTTCAGCTAATTACAGTTAACACCTTAACTTGCACACTTGCAAGTGCAGAGCCATTGGAATACTTAAGACTACACTGATTTTTATTTCAGTCGTCAAAGATTGTATCTTTTCATGCTAATTTGGACCATAAGTATTGGTTGTATTTCTACATACAACTTGCTGTTCATCCTTTTAGTCTTTCTCTCCTTCCTTCTTAAAACAGAGAAATACAGTTTAATTTGTTTTTCTTGGACAACACTGTAATGCTGCAGTATTGCAAGTGGAAGCACAGAACACAAATTTTGAAAATGGGGTTTAATGGACTTTCATGCTTATCTTTTTTTTTTTTAGCTGCATGTGGTTGTCTTCAGGCAGTTCAGCTTCTATGTGAACACAAATGTCCAATTAACATTAAAGATTCGGTACGTACCTTTTCTCCCATTGTGTACTTCAGATACTTCAGAGCTTTCGCCACCCTCCACTCCAGTCAATCTCAGGTGCAGCAGTTCAAAGCAATACTAAGTTATATTTCTTCTTGGATTTCTCTGGTGGAGGAAATGCCTTTTGCAGCTTGCTGTAGCAGAGGTGGGGAAGTACTTCACAGTCCAATACAGTAGTGTCAGGATTTGCTGCTCATTAAATTGAGACATTGGTATAAGTAGCTAGAATCAATTCTGATACATTCAAAACATGATTAAAAGCCTTTCCATTGACTCTAGTAGGCTTTGGGAAAGGCCCATTATGTGTCCAAGTGCTGTGAAATGCTCACAAAGCCCAACACAGCGTATGATAAGCCTGTGCGGAAAAAATATACTTGAGTCTAAAGGCTCAGGGACACTACATTCATATTATGAAATGTCTACAAACAACCACGTCTATTTTTGGGAATGATGGAACTACCTGATAGGAATGATGATAAAGGAAGGGGACCCGACAGAAATGAGGCACAAAAGAAAAAAAAAAACAACAAACCATAAAAATATTTAAATTTGTTTGGTTTTGACTTGGATCTATCTCCTTCTTGTCTGGTCTTTCTAATAAAAAAATCTGACACAAAGGTTAGACCAAAAATTTCAGCAGATGCGTTCTAAAGGCAGAAAAGTCAGTCTTAAGAAGAGAATACTGTAGGATTATATTAAAAATGTCCTCAGCTACATCATGGTTGATCATAGGGCAGAAGAAGCCAGACCAGCCTCAGAGGTGCATGACAAAATGATGACAACCAGTGGTCAGAATATGGGCAGTGGACCTGATTGGAATATTCCTGTTAGGTACTAAAAAAAATAATCTCACCGTGAAGGTGGTCAAACATTAGAACTGGTACCCAGAGACATCATTCATGGTATCTCTGCCTTTGGAGATGCTTAAAACTTGACTGGACAAGTCTCTGAGCAGTGTACTATAACTTGAAGTTTGCCTAGCTTTGGGCTGAGAGCAAAGGGAGAGAAACCCCAGATAACCTCTAAAGGTATTTTCCAACTGAGTTATTCTATGATTATATGAAACATTGTATTTTTGCCTTGTACTTAGTTAAAATTATCATTTTTGTTATGGAGTTACTTAAAGGTATTGAGTAGTTCCAAAATCATCATGTTGTAGCATTAAGCAAACAGCAAAGTGAGTACAAACAGCAAAAAAACATTCCTACTCCTAATGCTCTGCATCCCCAGTGGTCAAGAAAGGAATTAAAGTAAACCGAACTACATTTATGGTGCACAAGATAAATGTACTGATAGCACCTCATTTGTGCTATATAGAACTACATTTCATAGCTGACCTTTAAATCTCAGAGTGATATTTGTAAGTGGATGGATTGTTTTTCATAGTTTCTTTAAATACATTCCTAGGATGGGAACATACCTCTACTGCTTGCAGTACAAAATGGTCATATGGAAGTCTGCAAATGCCTTCTGGATCATGGAGCAGACATCAACACCAGGGATAAAAATGGAAGGTACAGCAGGTTAACGTGTCTATTCTTCCCCAAGGCTGACTGTCACATGAAGCTTTTTTCTGAAATCCTTCCCAAAATAGTTGTTGTTAGGTGAAATAATGCCTCTGTCCTGATTGTTGAGAAGGCTTACAGAATTCTGACTAAAGGGGAAGGTGAAACAGAAACTATACAGCTATAAAACTAGATGTGCCTGTAAGATTTCCCTTGGGCTACCAGAACAGTAAATTCCATTTTTAAATCATTCTTACAAGAATCTGATTGATTGATAGCACTTACCCACACATCACATTGTACATGCTCCAGTTTTCAATGCTGCTCTCTTCTTGGCATGAGTTAGTTTCTCCAACTTAAATCCTAAAATGGTTTCTTGGGAGTGACATCTGTGGAGGGTTCTTTTTTCTACCATAATGCAGGCACAGCAGCAAGATAAAAATACAGTAAAGCTATACAGTGGAGCTGCTGTCATTTTAGAAGGTGCCATTTAGAGGTTTTGTTGCATTAATAGATAGTGCGTGTGTCAGAAAACTCTTTTTAAAAGGCAACAGCCTTGTAGTGAAAAATGCACTTGTTTTCATGATACTGATGAAGATCAAGAGCTTTTAAATATTATGGACTGTTTTGGTTGAACTGTGAAAGTCAAGCAGGATGCTGAGAAGACTTGGCACTTACACCTGATAGCAGTCTTGATTATTGTGTGTTATACAATGCTCATATTGTTCTTTGGCAGCACCTGGGAGGATAAGACTGGGCCCCAACTTGTTTTTTATCAGTCCAAAGTTTATTGGCACACTCTTGTCTGAAGAAAACTGCTTTGTCATGTTGGTTGGTTTGAATGGCCTCATCGACACTTTGAAGCTGAGGTGCTGCCCACTGTGGAACCTCTGCCTTCCCCTCACTCTCTTGCTGTTTAATCAACAGACATTGTTAAGAGCTTATAGTTTAATTGGCTTGAAGGCACTTCTGTTATAGATAGGACAGACTCGCATTTTTTTATTTTCTTTTTAAGAACCTACTGTGTGTAGAAGCAAGAAAATAATATAACATAGAATATACAATTCTACTTCTCACTTTCCTTCTGTTAAGGAGAGTGACTACTCTTGCATCTTGTGTTCACAAAAGTGGTTACGTTCTTACTGAAAAAGGAAAAGCCTTGTTGGGAGGGGAAGGGTATAACCTTTGAAAATGACATCTCCAATTTCCTGTCTTGTTCAGACTAAGTGCATTATTTTGGTAATCCAAAACCATCCCTGTGACTCTCGAGTGACATCCAAGTTGCCACTCAACACTACTTTTTAGCACAGCACTGCAACAGCCATCACTTCTCCAGGGCTCACCCATTATGGGGAGTATGTTTAATTCCTCAGTTAAATAACTGTCTTAATATCTAGCAAATATTATCACTGTAGTAAATTTTTAGTTTCATATCTGCACTGAGGAATATGTATACCAGTGAACTTGGCCAACTTATTAAGCATGTTTTCATGTTGAGAAGGGAGAATTATGCGCAAGCAAGCAAGCAGTATTAAAGCATGCTTGAAAGGTGGGGGTTTCTGTGTGTTTGTAATTTCTCTGTACATCTGTTATGGCCCCTTCAAGTAATTGAGAAAAACAGATACAATCTGTTAGGAAAATACTCCTTTTGTATGCTACCCTAACTCAAGGATCTCGCACTGTCTAGCTGCTCTGTGTTGGAGGTGGAGTTGATTGCACTCTAATAGACTTATTTTCCTTTTTTTTTAAAGTGAGAGTAGATCAGATTTGAAGTCAAACCCATCTCTCAGTCTTACTGAAGAACTTTGAGATTTGTTTGCCCTTTTTGGTTGAAATCTGTTTGTCTATTTTGTCTTAAAAGCAACATGTGAAGGAGAGCAGCAATGAAATAAATGCTTTCATGTTGTACGACCACTTGCAGAGCTGTAATTTGTTGTGTGGCAGTGAGATTTGGTAGTCTGACTTTATCCTGCAGCCATTTCTATCTATGACTCTCCTCTTAGTCTCAGGAACCCATGTTTAGAAATGTTTGGAGACCTGTGCAAAGCATGCCAGGTCTTTGCAGAAGGTCCAGCTGGAGTACAGGGAAGAGGAGGAGGGGCAGGCAGGTGTTTGTAAGGAGCAATGACAGTTACATGTTTGTGTCAATACACATGTTGATAAAATCTTGGACTTTATTGCACAATAACTGTCACACTTTTTTTCCTGAAAATATGAGCTGATGCATAAAGAGTACACTCTTGACACTTACTGTTTGTGTGTTTTGTTTGTTTTGTCCAGAACTGCTTTGATGATGGCTTGTGAAGCTGGTAGCCTTAACATGGTGGAAGCCTTCCTTAGGAAAGGTGCAGATGTCAGTTTAGTAGATGTCTTTGGACAGAATGCCCTGCATTACTCCAAGCTCTCCGAGAATACAGGGATCCAGAATCTCCTATCATCAAAGTTATCTCAGGATGTGGGTATGTGAGAGATGACGATCTGCAGTTTGTCACTTCTTGAACTGGCTACATGTATGTTTCACAACGAACAGATTTATTTCATAAGGTAGCCTGAAAAGTTTCAAAAGCTATCTTCAGGATGGTCTAGCTGAGGCTTCCCAAAAGCAGTAAAATGTAGACTTTGCCATAGAGGGTAATATTTAGCATAGGATAAAGAACTGAGCAGGGCAAAAAGAGGTGTTTTGGAGAAAGAAAAAGTAAGCTGATGGTACCGGTATCCTGAAATCTTGCATACAATTTGGAATAGATCCTTTTTTATTATGTGAAAGAGTAAGTGGAACATACAGCTCCTCAGTAGAGGGGTTGAAGAAGGAACTAATGCAGGCAGAGTGTTTTACGGTCAAACTAAGACAGATTTCTAAAGGAGGAAGATAATGTGCAAGAATGGTGTAAGAGTATAGGAGACGAAGAATTGTCACAATCCTTGGAATTTAATCTCAATATGAAACCCAAAAAAGCAGCAGAGAAAAGATATGGTTCAAATGGAATTTGGAAATTCGAGTATATTTTTCAGATTTCAGACAAGAATTCAGAAAACAAAGTATTTATGGTGTGGGAAGTTGAGCTCTGAGAGGTGGGTTAGGAATAGCAAATAATTTTTTCTTTGATAGCTGTTCTTAATTCCACTTTTTTTCTGCTTCACAGATACAAAGTCACCGACAAAAGCAAAGCAGGTATTGGTCCTTTTGGTTTTAAAAATACTTGGGCTATATAGGCTTGTAACTTAAGAAAAACCAGTAATTGACATGATTAGAAGCACTAGTAAATGTCACTGTGAGATGCACTGCCATTGACTCCTCTGTAATGTGAAAAGTTTTTGTTACTTATTTAAGAAATGTGTTTCAGGAACATCGCTTTTAGACTTAGCTTCTCTCTGCAACAGCAGCCAGCACCCTCAGTGAGAAAAGGAAGGCGTGTGTGCCAGGAAGATATGCCACTTTTCTCATGTGTGATGCAGGAGCTTGGCTTTTGGACTCCCTGTCTCTGTAAACTGTAGAGAAAATGATCTAGAAAAGTCCAAAACATTTTAACTGAAGGCTATCCCTGGTTACACCTTACTGGAGACCCCTGCCTGTGAGAATCCCAGCAGATTTAGGCAATTAAATTAGTTTCTTACATTTTTTATGTAGTATCATATCTTGGAGTGCAGGTAGACCTTGTAGACCTGCTGGTGGCTGGAGAGTGGACGAGGGGGCAATGCATTGGTTCATTCCTTCTCTGAGCAGAGGTGGGTTTTCAGGGAGCTCAGGCAGAAGTCGCTGGTGGAAAGATGGTATCTGTTAAGAATGGCATGACTGGACTATGAATGAATGGAAGTATTTAAGATCTCTAGTGCTAAATCTGTTATCAGCTTCTGCTTTTTCACTAAATCTTGTTTGTTTTCACTGAAGCATGGATTACAAGGGGGCAGATTCTTATTGTCAGGCATGTTTAATATCTTTGTGTTAGTAGAGATGTAGCCTCTACATAGAAAAAAAAATAAGGCACTGCATGAGCTGCTAAAGTTGATATTAATGTGGGAATTTTTTGTTTGTTTGTTTTTACAAAACAACTTGCTTGGACTTTACTAACCAAACTAACAAACCTACCTTTTCTGGCTGGTGAAACTTTCAGCATGATCAAGGCTCTAAAGTAAGTTCAGAAAGAAGTGGAACTCCAAAAAAACGCAAAGCCCCACCTCCTCCTATCAGTCCTATTCAGGTAAAGAAAAGACCAATTTTTAGATGATTTTAGGGCATGAAAAGCATTTTGAACATTATGTGAATAATGTGGGCTGGATTTTTTCTGTCACTGTTATTTTATATGCCTGCCTTACCATGAGTGTTTTTCCTGACATTAGGATGACACTATCAAAGCACATGTTGGTTAGGTTAACTAAGCAAAATTGCCTGAAATACAGCCTGGTCTAAGATACAGCTGTACAAGTTTTACTGTACAATTGTTTCTTCTATCTAAAGTTGAAGTTCTCCTGGTTTTGACAACTTCCACAAGTAAATAACTATGTGTATTTTAATTACATGTATGTAGATGTTATTATATGTATATACACATATGAAAGTGAAATACTGAAATAGAGGTACACAGTATCAAAATGCAGTTTAACAGTTAGGTTTAACATTAAACTGGAATATTACCTGTGTAACAGCTACACTGCATACATAATACTGACTCACAAAAGCACTGAATAATTAGAACTGCTCTTTGAAACTCACCTACAGTTGTGACTTATGATAATGCAGGGAAAAGTACTCTTTAACATGTGTGTATATATGTGTGTGTATATATGTATGTATAT